GCGGCGCGGGCGAAGCGGCGGCCCCGTCAGGCTGGCAGCGGCTGGGGAAGCACGTGTGGAGGAGAGCCGGGACCGGCCTCCTGTTCCTCGGCCTCGTCTGTCACCGCGGGGCCGCCGCCTGTGGGGTCTTCTGGGGTTTCTTTTTTGTTGTGGGGTTTGTTGTTTCTTTTTTTTTTTTTTTTTTTTTTTTACGCCTGTATTTCATCACGGAAAGTATTTGCCTTGGTGACCCCGCAAGCACCGAGCACGCTGCCAGCAGCCCTTGGAGGAGCGGAGGGCCTTTCGGATCCTCGCCCATAAAGTTTCCCCGCAGTGGCTGCGGTCAGGCTGGGGCACAGCACCGGTTCAGGGGGCTGGAGGACGACCTGCTTGGTCCAGGGAGGGTCTTGCTGGCAGCATTAACGGTGCTGCATTCGGAGCAGTATAGTTTATACACTCTCATTCCCAGGAACAGGACGTAAGTGCACGGAGCTGATCCAGACTGAACCCAGCCCAGTATAGGGAGCGTATACTTTTATCTTCTGCTGTGCCACCTGGTGAGGTGGTGTTTCTGTGACTGATATTCAGGAGCATTGGAAATTGAGGAAAGCTTAGGAGTGTTTCAGCATTTGTATAATTGCAGTCAACTCTCTGTTACCGGTTTAGATTATCTGGGTTACCTGTTACCTCCACATTCATGGCATCAAAAGCTTTTTTCCAACAAGGCTTATTGTCCTCCTTGGAGCTGTGTACCGCTGCCTTAAAACAGCAGTATCCTGTGCATGGGCACTTCAGTGGTGTACCTAGAGACAGCTTGTGTCTAGCCATGCTAGTCTGAAGCTGTCTGCACCTGAAGGTGCCTCCTGTGCACCCCTCTCCTCATGGACTCAAGTTACAGGAGGTTTACTAGGTCAGTCATAGCATTGTATGAATGCATGGATCCAGTTCAGTAAACATTCCTGTTGGACTGATAGGGAGCATGGTGCACAGATGCCCAAGAGATTCTCTGATGTTTCTGGACCGCTTTTTGCAGCGTGTTGTGTTGCAAGCTGGACACAACACGTGAGGGAAACTGGCCATGAGCATTTGCAGAGCACTGTGTCTGACCTAGTAAACCTTCCCACAGCATTTGGGAAACTGGTGTGGAGGTTTATGCATACGCACTCCTTCGGCTTTGAGGAAGCCAGCCTACATGTGGCACCCCAAGAGCTAAACTGAAACTGAAATGCTGGTTGAACCTGAGTTAATTCCTTGAAAAGACACTGGGGAATAAATGTTGTTTCTTCCCTTTACCCTCTTCCTTTTCCAAATAGTATTTGACCCATTAGCCACATTTGACAGAGGGAAGAACACGTAAGAACAGCCTTACAGAGTCAGGCTAGAGAGCCAAATAGTGCATTATCCTATTTCTGACAGTTACCATAGATCTAGGGGTTGCCTGGGGACTAGTAAGAGCAAGTGAGTATACACTGTATTCCTCCTAAGTACTTTTTGAGCCTCCAGCTATTTTTAATTCTGGAGACTTCCTGAGATGAACATGGCTTCTCTCTGTTCACTAGTGCTCTGTGCATCTCATTGCAAAGTGGAGATTCCTTTAAGTTTGTGGAAGTAACCTTCCAGATAGACAGGAGTGCCCTAACTGAGGGAATAGGTTGCAGGTTAAGCTAACGCCTTAAGATATTAGGAAACCACCGCAGGGAAATTGTCAGTTGGGATGTGAACCTTTTGCATGTTAAAGTCAGCCCACCATGAAATGCAAATGAGTAGGAAGCAAGGGTGATTCATTTCCAGAGCTCTTAGATTTACTTACTGTTACGTACTATTCAAGCTAGTAATATTTAAACAACGATTAACTTCTTTGGACTTGAAGAGAAAGCATTATGTTCAGGAAAGAGATTTTTTTTAAAGTTATTTATTAATTAGCAATCTTATATTCATCTAGTGTTCTGAGAGATGAGGCTCACATGTTAGATAACCCAGCTAGATACCCTAATTTGAACAGCTGAGAACTTGCTAACTTTTGGAAGAGGTGGTGGAGTTCACCGGATGTTCCGCCCAGTCACATGTTTCATAGGTAGACAGGACTGCTCAGTATGGTCTGTGCTAAGGCTGAATTACGGGTCATGCTGGGGAAACTTCTTCAAAGAGCTAGAGCTCTTAATTTTCAACAAGAAGTTAAAGTCTACAGAAGGCATAGAACTACTGAAGTCATGTGTTGTCGTGGTTTAAGCCCAGCCAGCAACAAAGCACCACGAGACCACTTGCTCACTCCTCCACCCCGGTGGGATGGGGAGGAGAAATATAAAGAAAAGCTGATGGGTCAAGACAAGGATGGGGAGGGATCACTCACGAATTATGGTCATGGGCAAAACAGACTGGTGGGGGGGGGACACACACGGGGGACCAAAATCAATTGAATTTGTAACCAATCAAATCAAAACAGGATAATGAAGTAAAACCAAATCTTAAAACCCTTTCCCCCACCACTCCCTCTTTCCTGGGCTTAACTTCACTCCCGATTTTCTCTACCTCCTCCCCTCCAGCGGCACAGGGAGACGGGGAATGGGGGTTGGGGTCAGTTAATCCCACGTTGTCTCTGCCGCTCCTTCCTCCTCAGGGCAGGACTCTTCACACTCTTCCCCTGCTCCAGTGTGGGTTCCCACCTGTGGGAGGCAGTCCTTCACAAACTTCTCCAATGTGGGTCCTTCCCACAGGCTGCGGTTCTTCACGAACTACTCCAGGGTGGGTCCCTGCCATGGGCTGCAGTCCTTCAGGCACAGACTGCTCCAGCACGGGCTTCCCATGGAGTCACGGCCATCTTCGGGGGCACCCACCTGCTTTGGTGTGGGGTCCTCCATAGGCTGCAGGTGGGCATCTGCTCCACTCTTAACCTCCACGGGCTGCAGGGGCATCACCTCCTCCAGTGTACCTCCTCCTCCTTCTTCACTGACCTTGGTGTCTGCAGAGGGGTTTCTCTCACATTCCAATCTCCTCCCCCACTGCAGGTTCCCCTTCTTAAATCTGTTCTCCCAGAGGTGCTACTGCCATCACTGATGGGCTCAGCCTGGGCCAGCACTGGGTCTGACTTGGAGCTGGGGAAGCTTCTAGCAGCTTCTCACAGGCGCCACCCCCACAGCCCCTCCCCCACTACCAAAACCTTGCCACACCAACCCAAAACAGTGTGCAAATAGATGAGCTTGGATGAGCACATTATTCTGTGGAAATGGTGTGGTTTTTTTCTTGTTTGCTACATTGAAAGAGAAGAAGAGTGTGCTGTACTGGGCTGAGAACAGGATATCTTTATAGAGACATTGGTGAATGAATTGTTGAAAGAATGGTAAATAAAAGTAACTTTTAGTAAAAGAGGAATGATGGCTGGGTGGTTTCCTATCTGACAGAGCTGCACTTACTTGGGCCCAGATCTATAAAGGATTTATGTAATTTCCACTGAAATGTGCATGTGCGGATCTGGTCCTTGGACGTGATCTAGAATAAGAAAAATTGCAACAATTTTAATGATAGCAATGTCAAAACAGCATAACGCCCAAACAGAAATGCTAACAAGGCTTGCATTAAAGTAGCATGTCTTCGGTGAGTGGTTGTAACATTACTAATCCAAGTTCCCACATTGTAGGTAGGGACAGAGTTACAATTCAAGCCCTAAAACCAAAAACTCTCTCAAGGTAGCTTTAAGGTAAAGGCGGCCTTCAGTTTTGTGCACTGTGGTTGCTAATACTATAGGTTCAGGTTTTAAAATAACCTTGCCTGAATGATTATTGTTATTTGTCAGTTGTGGATGATGACAGCAGGGCACATAAAGTTGAAAAATGGAAAACACAATCCTGAAACTACTTTTTGAGTGACCAGGATAAAAAGCTTGCTCTCAAACCTTTTGATCAGGGTCCTTTGTCAAATGGACAAAGGACTGCCTAGGACACTTTAAAAAGCCCTCTATGTATGAAAACCAACCCCATGGAAGTCTGTGTTCCCTAGAGGGGGAAGAACTCCTGAGCCATCTTTATAGGCAGCAGCTGACATCCCCTGGACATAAGCCTGATATCTGATGCCTCTGCAGAGTTAATGCTGTGTGTGAGGTTAAGGCTGCTTCTTACTGCTACGTGTGTAGCATATAATTCTGTTAAGAAATGTTAATTTTAATATTTCAATGAATATTAAATCAGTGAATCAAATTGTTTCATATTTAATCTTAACATTACAGCCAAATCTAAGTTAAATTTATAATTAATGCTTACTATTACTAGACATATTGCTTCCTACGTAGCATTTTGCGTATTTCCTTTGCTCAGCTCTACTTCCTTTCTTTTTAACCAAGCATGACTGTAAACAATTTAACTAACGTATTTACAATTTTTTGTCTGAGTGGAGAATGATGCAGTAGTGATAACTGCTTTCAAGTTACTTGGTCCAAGGAGGTGGTACTCAATTTAGATCTAACACTGGGTCTCAGGGTTTTTGATTGGCAGACCCCTGAAAATTTTGCAAAAGTGACAGTGATCTTTTTGGAGCAAATTTGACCTTACTGGAGACAATTACCTTTCTAACATGATTTTTCTTGAAATTACTTGGTAGTACTTAATAAGCCATAGTTTGAAAATAGCTG